CAATCACCTTGCAGAATTATGGACATTTAGAAAAATTCCGCCAATTGGAAAGTGCACCTAACAACTATTTCGGACCAGAGTAGTATGTAAATGTTGTCCCGATGCAACCCAGGCGCTGAAAAACGACGTCTCGACCGGAATAGACTGAGTGGGTGAGACGTTTTCGTCGCACCAGCACATGTGCGCTCACCTCCATCCACGACAGATCTTGGGCAGTGGGCAGCTCATCTTCACGTTGGACAGCATCACTTCGACTTGGTTGTCGGCCTTGTAGTCCACAAAAGGAAAACTTGTGCTGTCAGAACTTGGCGACTGATTCGGCTTGCCGCAGAGCTTCCCAGCTAGTTCGACAACGTCGACTCCCACCACACGCACTTGTCGGAGACCAGGTTCAAGGCGCACGAAATGGGCCTGTTTCCTTGGCGCGCGCGAGGACTCGCGCACCTAGAGGTCGGGTCCGCTGCAGTGTGGTAAATTTGGCAACGTCATGTGTCGATAGTTTGTAGCTCCCAAAAATCAAAAGTGATCACGCCCATTCATTTCGCTTCCGACGAACGCCACCAAGACCCGCAACCTCACCAACTCCTCCATCCATGTCATTTTTCACGAAGGGTAAGTACAAGTGAACGTTCTTTGAGAATCACATCGTAAGCATGCAACCTTTCAGCAGGAAGAGCCGCCCATGTCAGCGGGTGTAGAGGTAGTCTTGTGTGCCTGGCCTTTCGTTGGAGTTGCATGGCCGACACGAACGGCGATGCACAGCCGATGTTCGCGCAGGAACGTATCAATTTCGGGAGCCCACGGCTCCATCGTTGCTGTGCGAGATCCGCTGCCCGGTCTCCCTGCATGCGACTATGAAAGTGCACTTAAGGCACGAGGAGAGCATGGATGTAGCCGGGGCGGTCCGACTCGACAAAAACGCCACCCGAACTAATCCTGGCGACGCCGGGCGCACCATGCCAACTGAACGGATTGCGCGTCGCCGAAGCAAGCGCATGTTTCCCGCAATGCCGAAAGAATCTAGTGGAAATACATTATGAAACCATCAGGGAATCGCCTTGATCAAGGTTTTGGCGGAGTTGGTACACAGGACAGTAGCGGTGGTGACGCAGCCAGCTTCCTCCTTGTTGCAGCGGGTGGTGGTTTTCGATGCCCACTTGTCACCGAGCCACCAGCGGGCCGTCGTGGTGCCGTTGCACGTCGTGCGGATCGCATCTCTCAGCACACCACCAGGTCACACCACCCAAACAAGTCGGCAGGTCGGATCTTGCTCGCAGCGAGTCGCCAGGACGAAACGACCACCAGCAATCGTTTCCACGTGATATTGTACATACACCGTGGAGTTAGGTGGCTCACACTCGAAAGCCAACCGTGCGACAGTCCCATGGTGGGTGGGTGCTCACGGCTGGAAGTCGCGTCTGCGACAGCAAACGTGTTGAAACCGCGCTCTGTCTCGGACTCAGAAAGGCGGCACGGTATGCTTGGCATGCATCGTTGGTCTGTCGAGAGCGTCGTTTGCGTGCGAATTCATGCTGACCAAGGCACACTACGCCATTTCCCGCTGGGAAACTCAGCATGCAGCTCGCATGGCGTTCCGTGCCTTCAAAGTTGCAGCGCCACCAAGGGATGTTATACGCCCCACCAGTTTGCTGAAGTAGTTGCATGGCCTGAAGGTCTTTCTTTACATTTTCCCCGGTGTGTAGAAGTCGTGCACTTGCTAACAAAGCGATTTGCACCTTCCACATGCATTCGACCATCCACGGCAACGTCTGCGAGCCACTACTCTATCTTGGACGGAAGGGGTGGTGCATTGGAGGGTTGGCTCATGTACGCACCGCAGGCTGCAATGCGCGGCTACGACCTGAGCCGTTCATACATAGCTGTGACCGAGGTAGTCACGGCGCGCGTTCCGTGCGCTTCGACACGAACAGACTGGAGGGAGTCTCAACACGTATTAAGTCTGTACGGGAGCAGCACTTGAGTTGGTACAACACAGACATCGCCATGGCGCTTGTGTAGCGCTGACGTCGCCGCGGCCGCGACATGAGCCGCAGGTTTTCAGTGGGTTTTGGTGAATTCCACCGGGGGTTTCGGGGTCGTTATTCTCCACTAAGTACGAATGCTGCAAGTTCAAAACGAAGGGCGATGGCGCACGGCTGGATTGCCGCGCCTCGCGGAGGAGCTTATTTGGCGATCGTGTACGTGTCGGAAGGCAGGTGCCCGTCCAAGGTTCGCGAGTTGGCCACATTGGCGTCCACAGCAGCAGCTCGCGTGAGGTCACCCACCGCACCTCCAGCCCTCGTGGCGCACTCATTCGCAGACCCGACGTACAACAGGACAAGCTTCTTCTTCGTTGGGTCGCAGGTCGCGGCATCCGCCAGCGCATTCGTCACATCGGTCCTCGCGACGCTAGACTTTTCTCGTCATCGCGGCACGCATCCGACACTGGGAACCGTCGACCATGTGTGTTTTTCGCCACTGGGAACTGCGACATTGGATGAATCGGCGGCAGAGGCCTCGTCGTTTGCATCGTCGCTACAATGTAACGAACCGACGCTTCCGATCTATGCCTACGGTCCGGTCTTAACGGGTCTGCGGCTGCGGGACATCCGAAAGAGGTTGGGCTACTTTTCAGCCAAAGAAACCTGTGGCGCACAGACGATCGCTGCGCTGATGACAACGGTGAGAGAGCACCCTCCGACCACCGCGTGGCGAAGAGTGCTGGCTCAACAGTCCAGTCACGACGAGCTGTGCCGTCAAGACGTATCTCCGGCGAAGCACGGCGTCCTCTGCGTCGGCTCTGTGCCTTTCGTCCTCAACTATAACCTGCGCTGTCGCTTGCAGGATCCTAAAGTTGCCGTAGCGAAGATCACAAGCGCAGTGCGGTGTCCCGAGGTAAGAGAACAACTTGTCGGACTGTAGCAGCTTACCTGTCTTGGCTGTATCAACTCCTTCTTACGCGAACTGGCGGTCGCATCGGCTGTTTGGTCAGGTCGAAGCGCTCACTCTACAACACCGCGACGGCGCGTACGAGGTGGCATGCAATTTGCTGGACAGTCGAAGCGTACCTCCAGAAACGGTGCTCGCGATTGCCGCAGCGGCTGCCAACGACGTGGGGGCCGCAATCACCGACGACTACTTCACTGGGCCAACCGAGACCGCTCTGTTGGATGCGTGGCGCACTCATGCGTGCGGCGAGGACTGTCCATGCTAACTCATTCAAAAGCAAGGCTCGAACGAGCCATCGTCGTGACTCGTTTGTGCGGTGGATGGGATTCATTTGACGCTGCTCCACACATGCCAGCAAAGGAAGGCACGGTCGTTCGTGGCGGTGGCTACAGCTTCGTGGATATGCCAACGAACTTGATCCGATTGCTGGCCTTTGAAATTGCGGTGAGATCGCCACTCTACGGACTGGTGTGTGAGTGTCGCAAGTTCCTCGAATATGGTGGTCGGTTGCTCACGCACACGTTCGTCTTTCCCCCTTCACTCTTAAACTGCCTGGACAGCAAACGTAACGCGATCTGTGCTTGCGATCGTTGAGGGATTCCTCTCGCTCCAAGCGAGTCCGTCGTCGCTTGCTGCTGACGAGTGGCGCAGGTTGTGGGACTGTCCTGTGGCCGGCCGCCCCTGCGCTAAACGTTTCCTGGTCAAATTATCCCTTTGCCTGTAGGCGGTGGCTACACCACCACCAAGCGGTGCTGGGCCTGCCAGCAAAAGCAGCATCGCTCTCGAGGCGATGCACTGCTTTCGGGCGCCACCATCGACCCGTGACGGCGCCATGCATAGCATGCAGCTCCCATTTACGTGTTTCGTGTATATCACCAACTACAATCGCCATGCCAAACGGACCAGTCCAGCGGCTGGCTTGACATTGCACCTGGCGTTTGACTTGGAGTTTGTATGATGGCGTCGCCACGTCTCTGCATCCAGCTCGGTTCGTTCCATCCTGGCACAATCTTGTCCTACGATGGGCAGCAGCTATCGCCCGACGCTGCCGCTGCCGCCCAACTTCTTTACGTGCCCGCCGCTACATGACGACGAGATCAAGCAGCTGAAGCTCCTTGCGATCGCGACGGCCACCGAAGTCGTATGTGGCCCGTGGCTTTGCTGCATTAGGTCGTTTCTAACGGTGTTGGTGATGCAGGTCGAGCACTCGCAGCTCCGCGACGGTGGCATTGCGTGGACGCTTCGATCCGACGAAGGCAGCATGCGATTCTTTAAAGCGCCGGACCCGTTGCACCGTGTCGGTGCCCACATGTACATGAGCGTCGTCGAAGTCGCCGGTACGCTGGACGAAGTCATCGACCTGTTTCGGACGGATTCGACCTTTAAAGCGAAAGAGTACGTCAAGCGGTTTGGAAAAGGGCTCTTGGATGCCGTCAACTTGTACTCGATCGTGGAGCCGACGCCCGCCTTTCCAAATGAAAAGGTTGGCATCACGTGGTTTGCCATGAAGAGTCCGTTCGACAAAATCGTGGCCAACCGCGACTGCGTCATGCTCGAGGTGAGGTAGACAGCCCCGATATCTCATGGAAATCTCCATGCCTTGAGTGCCGTCGGTTCGTTTGAATGTCTGTGTGCCATTCGTGTCTCAACTTTTGGAGTCGCTCGGGATGTCTAGTTCTTCCAGTGTGGCATCCGCTCGTGTCATCCGCTGCCGTGGCATTTTGCGCTGCCACACCGATGCATGTGGGGCACCGTAGCGATACCTTAGCCACTCGCCCATGAGCCTTCCTCATCCCGTCGACCAACAATTCGAGCACTGTGGTCTCTTGCGAAGGTTGTCGTTATGGACGGCATTGCTCGAATTGGGTCCGCTGCTGTGTGCATCTCTCGATTTGCAGTCAGGATCGCGCGTGTGGTTGTATTGGAGATCATGTCGTTTTCTGCCTGTGTGCCATGTTTTGCCGCGTCGTCACCGGTGATTTCCACAACCCGTAGAGATTTTTGAACTGGCAGGTTTCCCTCTGAACTCTCTTGGTGTAGTGCCAGCATGAATTCCAGTGGACAACAGATCGGCGGGCGTGGGTCCGCGGCTTGCGCTCCGTGGATCTCGTATGCTGCCCCGACATGCAATCGACGTTGGGACTTGTCCGGTCGACGCAATATGGTGTTGGCCACGTCGTGCTCGAGTCGCTGGATCGACCGGGGTACCTTCAAATTTCGTTTTTGAACCACTTTGACGTCAAGGGAAATCCCCCCGAGTGGTTGATTGAGATGGGCATGAAGAAGCGGTGCAGGAGCATCCTCGACATTGAGCTGTACCTCCGCGAAGACCGCCTCAGTCGCGGATATTTGCTGTCGCCCGCCGAGTTTGTGCCGCTGACGCGACGCCGCCACTGCTTTCTGTGTCGCAAGCGATTCAACCCGTGGAGCAAGCGGTCGAATTGCATGAAGTGCGGCGAAGTGCTGTGCAGCGGATGCAACTCGAATTGGAACGTCAAGCTACACAATGGCACCGTCCATGCTGTCATCCAGGCGTGCATTCGATGTGCCCAGAGAAACCCAATCTCGGACGTTGGAACGGATGCCACGTCATCGATGACGACGCGCAGCCATGCCAGCAATCCGTACAGCTACACGAGCCACCCCCGCAGTCACGCACCGACCCACGACAGCCACACGTTTCGACCGAACCGGTTCGACCCCGCAGCGTCCTCGTCGTCGGCTTCGTCTGAATCGAGGCGAAACCAACCGTCGCGAACTGGCACCATGCACTCGACCCACGACCCCCTGCAGACCTTCTACCCGCCGCTTGACGATTCTGTCTACACTGACCCGTACCAACACAACCACGTGGCCATGGACTCGCATGAATCCGTTGTGTCGTCGGCTTCCTCGGCTTCCGTCTGGACGACATCGTCCGATTTTACCAAGAAGCTCATGCCTCGGTTCACGGCACGCGGCGGCCAGCGTTCGCTGCCACCCCAAGGACAGCGCTTCCAGTACATGGAAGAGGACGCCCAGCATGGCGGCAAAGATCCCTTGGTCAACACAGATGACCGCCCTGACGACGTTGCTCTAGACGAGCAAGATGCCACATTCAGGAGGAACAGCAGTGCTAGCAGCGAAGACGGCGATGGTGGTGGCAGCTCCCAGCAAGGCTCGCGCGCGTCTGTGTGGCTCACGTTGTCGCAGGGAAGAGGGGGCGAGTTTGTTGTTCACTCGCCGACGTCCATGTCTATAGTAGACAACTCCACGGCGGAAAGACACCGAGATGACGCGGGAGGCAGTCCGACGGCGGGCAAATCCTCCCGCCGCCAAGCCACGATGCTGCATCGATCGAGCTCGCTGGACATGGCCACTATGTCGATGATTCCGTCGATGATGGACATGGTACCTCTCTTACCACACAACCACCGAACTCTCCTGCCCACGCAAAAAGCGTCGGCTACGGTGTCGCTTGCACCGAAGACCGCTTCGAAACAGCCCGACCCTGTAGTGGAAGCCGTCGCCGCAGCAGCTGCTGCATGGTCCATCAGTGTGCCGACGAGGCCATCCGTTGCCGCGTCCTCGGTCGATTCCAAAGCCAGCGAAGACTTGCACGTGCTCACGTCGGTGTGGACCGCCGATCCGAATGACTTTCGCCGGCCCGGCGGAGAGCACACAGAGCAAGAAAAACAACGTGGTCCATCGATTCAGGAACAGACCGATCGTGGCCGCAAGCCAGTGGAATCTGCTTTGTGCACAAGTCCCCATGGTCCGATCTTCTTGGAATAAGTTTTCACGTGGCGTGGGTTGGTGCATGCAGCATGGCCGAAAACGTGGGGCTTGAATCGCGTATATGTGAATTTGAGCTTTACCTGATGATGCAGTCGGTGCGTGCGGTGTCTCTCGGGGGCCGACGACGGAGTTCTGCTCATTGGGACGCGCAGCCGACCGACTGGTCGAGCCCACTACGGCATGTGACAATGGGAGAAGCTGTACGATTGTGTGAAACGCTCGGAGGGGAAATTGCCCCATTCCATTGGGCTATCAGCAGGATCATTCCCGCCACAGCATGCATTCGACAGGGGTATTCGTTGGGATTTTTCCGTGCTGTTCCCATTCTGAGTTGGCTTAACCTAGCCGTGCCAGCTGCATTCTTCGTCCATCCACGTTGGCATCATGTCGCGGCAGGTGCCGCGCCCCCGCCGCCTGACGCTCGTCGTCTTCGTCGTCCTCGTCCTGGTGGCTGCGATCGCGCATGGCGACATCCCGCCCTGCAAACCCAACATGTTGGAAAAAGTCCTCGCCCCAACGTACTCGAACCCGGCGCACCAGTTGTGCATGAAGGACTCTGGGATGGACAGCAAGGTGTTTCTCAGTGCAGAGTTCTCGCCGACTCTTGCGCAACTCGGCGCGTTTTTCAAGTCGGAATCGTGTCGAGCGACGTTCCAACTCATCGTCGACGCCATCAAGAACGACCTCCCCACTTGCATGTACTCGACCGCCATGTCCAGCACCCAACTCGGAAACCTCACGTTCGACCATCTCCGGACGCTCTACACGGCGTACATGGCATCGCTTTAAGTATTTAAAAACCAATCTTCCCGACACGATGGTGCGTACAATGCGGGGGGGGATAGATTGTGTTTGCCTTCGATGGCATTCCGGAGCTCAGAGACTCACGAGTGGTGTCGCCCGTGCTCGTGTTGAAAGCTGGTTTGCTAGCGCCGTACGGCGCCACATCGGAACCGCCTATAGCCTTCGATGTCGCTGGCTAGAAGGAGCTTGTGGACGCCCAAGGACAAGACAATTCTCCCGCAGGTGCCGACCCTCCACGCTGGAGATGCCATGCACGTTTGCATCGTGCGAGGGATTGCTGTTGAATCGATCGCTGGCTCAAGGGAGACGAAGGCTTCTGTCGCCACAAGTATAAACAACTGCTAGTACAGTCAAATGTCGAGGCTAGACGACGAGCAGCTTGGAGGGGCGGACGGAATCCTCTGCCGACGCCGCGGCGGGCGGCTGGGAACGGCCGTAACTCGTTGCCTGTAGGCACTTAATGCTGCTTCGCAACACTCGATGCATACCGGCACTGCCTTTGGTCGGTCCTTCATGATCGAAGCTACCCCACCGTCGACTGTGTCCAAGATGGCGCATGGCTTGCAGCAGGTCGGGCACACAATAGCGCTACATTTACCGCACCGGCGCTTGACACTCCACTTGTGCCATCGAAAGCGTTTCCGGCAGTGGCGGCAATGCTCCGCGCGCACCACTTGGGCATCATCGGTCGTGCCAAACGAGGTGCCGTCGTTTAGCCGCCCTTCCTGGACCCACCACCCGAGGTCGCGAAGGGATTGCATGTGGCGGACCGACTCAGCAGCGAGGCCTGCCGACACCAACCGCCGCATGACCCAATTTGTCAACGTGTGGAGGTCAGGCGTCCAATGGCTCAACGTCGTCGGCATGGATCGGTGGTCGAGACAGTACACGTCGACAAACCCGGGTCGTGCGTCGGATTCGACGGCGACGATCCCGCTGCCATGATTTTGCTGGCGAACAAACCCCAGTGTGTCCTGCAAGTCCGGGCAGGAAGCTAGCTTCACGGACTGCTGCGCTTGGACCCACCCGCGCCGATGGCCGCGACTCGCTCGACCGCGGAGCGTGCTGCGCTTTGGCCAGTCGAATGCATGCCACACCTAAATAGCATGGATGAATAGGTTCAACGACGTCGGGATTCCAGCAGACGCACCTCCAGAACGCACTCGTCACGTGGCGGCAGGATGCGGCGCAAGACTCGCGGCACCGCCGCATACGCTTGCCATGTGATGGCGGCGTACTCGCCAGCCGCGGTCGGCTCCAGGGCACTGTACAACGTGATCTTGTCCTGGGTGGTATTGGCCAAGTGGTTGGGCCCAAATCGGCGGCGGTGGTGGGCGTCGCGACGCGGGGTATCTGTGCGAAAAACCTCGATGGCTTCATCGAGCGAAGCTTCAACGGTCATGTGGCCGCAATACTGAGTCTTGGCCCGCGTGTCAGCCGTGTGGCCATCTTCGTTGATGGCCGTGCCCTTGTAGATGCGAATCGCGCCGCCTGCAAGCACTTTGTGCAAGCTCCACGCTGTCGACGTTGCCTCGGGGTCCATTTCGACCTGGTGCACCTACACGTCATGGCGTCAGAGACACCGAGCCAACAACGATCCTGTCGTACGATGCGCATGGCGGTCTCGATCGCTAGCGTCCGCAGGTGGACCATCTCGTCGGTCGACAGCGTCGGGCACAAGAAGTAAGTTGGCGGCAGCTTGGACATGGTCGCCAGTTCGCCACGCACCGAGTTGAATCCGAAGTGTCGCCGACGGCACTTGACGCCGCCCGCAACTTCCAAGAAAATCCTTTTTCGGTGGCTCCTTGGCGCGACCCCACGTGCAAAAGGATATGGAAGGTTCGTTTTAGTCATCGTGGACAACCGCATTTCGAACGCAATGGCCGAGGGGTTCAGCCGTCTTTCGGCGACGGCGGGTGAGATGCTGCGAACACACTGACTCTGGTCAGTGCACACTTCACTCAGTGGCCAGTCGGGATGGTGGATGGGCAAGTCGAAACGACTCGAGTCCTGCCGGCCCTAGCGAGTTCCCGAACGAACGGGACGTGGCCATGCCCATCGCAACTATCACGACGCAAACGCTTGGTCTTGAGCCTGCACAAAGCCACTCGTGGAAGCGCTGCGGGTAGTACTTCACACGAAGATATGCCTGGTACACCAAATATCGCATGAACTTGTGGCAGAAATGGCTCTGCCACGGCTGGCTAGATGTGTGTTCGAAGCCGTGTCAACATTGGGAGGGCAGGCTGGCCAAAGAAGGCAATGCTTGTCGACTGCTGTACATGAACTGAAGAACTTGACATGATCACCATGGAAGCATTCAAGACGACATCGAGTCATTCACCACTCGCGCTGGCTCGGATATGTCCCAAAGCCGCCTGCACCGCATTGCTTTCGATGGCGAAACCACGTCACGTCTACTTTGCTGTGACGACGACGGTTTGTCTTGTTACCATGGTCCTTTTCTAGCAGCATTCATCGTGGACGATACCGAGAGCGACGTCGGACGCATGAAGGTGTTTGATGCCCGCCTTTTTGCCGCGGTATGCTGGCGACACGTCATGTCCTTGCAGTGCCTCGGTGTCAAGCGCCTCTACAGCGCACAGTCAAAGGATTTTGTCGTGCTTTTGGCGGCTCTCGTAACCATGACGCCAGCGAAGACAACCCCCGAGTACGCGAAGATCAGGCAAGGACTTCCAAAAGTACAACTTTTTTCAATCCACGTGCTTGAGAGTGTTAAATTGCTCGACCAAGTCCTTGTGAGCTGCCATATTTGGTCGTGGCGGCTGTGTGCCGCGGTGTGGCTCCAGTGGCGCCGCGCAGCTTGGGCAAGGTCACAGTCGGCGGCGGCGGTGTGATGGCCGATGATGGAGTTATACGTTGGCGTGCGGCCGAATACGTCGAGGAGGTGGTGGCGGCGGCAGGTCGGAGTGGGGAAAGAAGCGACTGGTCTTTGTGTCTACACTCACCAGAATGAGAGACGTAATTGTCTGTGCAAAGCAAGAGATCCAAGTCGAAACACCGACTTGACGTTGATGGTAGCTCTTTCGTACCGCCGTGGCCGCATGGCGACACTTTTGACGCCGCGGTGAATATCGCGGGACGCCAAAACGGGTACATATTGGTTGATTCTACAAGCCCGGCAGCCACGTCACCGATCGACGGGCTCGCGATGGTCCATCTCCACACGACTCACAGGTTTCGTTGACGTGGCAGCACTAACTTGAGCCGCGCCGATGATGTGACGACAGGTGGGGATCCTGGATCTCTTGGCGCGGCTGCGACAGTGTCGATTGGTTTGGTGAGGGGCATGCGGCTTGGCAGCGAGTGCGGAGGCGCGGACAGCGGCCGCAAAACATGGCGCAGGAGCGGTTGAAACTACCATCGTGAAAAGGTCATGCCATTGCACGGCAAAGGAGAAGTGGAGTGGAGTCACGCACTTGGCAGGTCACATGCATCCACAGGCGTTCGAGGACAGCGTCGTAAACTTGCTGAACCAAACAGAATTTCGGCGCGACCTGCCCACGAGTGACATAGGTATGAGCATATCGCACGAATGGCCGGTCAAAGCCACAGCACGTCTGCAAGTGGAGTCTTCCATGGAGCACAAGAAATCGGAGAAAATGGCCACCACAGTACCGAGTCGATCGCATCCTCGTCGAACGCGATGGCCGGGGAACCTCTTGGAGAAAGCGGCGGTGAATTGTGATCGCGAACTTGATGCGGAGGGGCTTGTACATGTTTATAAATCATCTCGTCCAGTATGCCGTGACTAATGGACACTTCAAAATCGAACGAAGAGAGGGGCAATCGAACGGCGCAGAGGCCAGGTAGTCGTCCCATCGAACCTGGCAAAGACTTCTTCGTCACTAAGCGAATGGAGTGAAGCACCATGGTCTGCGCCGAGGGTCGGACGGCTCGGAATGGGATGTCCGCGGATTTGAAGACATGAGGAGCGCCAGTGGAGCTCTAACACACTGTCAAAACCGAACGTGTACCATGATCTGGTTATCACCATCGAACGGCGTAGCGGAATTCCGCGCAGATGACCTGGCGAGAGGGGCAACGCAGGCAGGAAGAGGAGTTGGGGCTCGTACACCTGACCCATCAAGCCCTGGTTGCGAATTTATGTCCATGATGGAGCGAAGTGCCTGTCCACATCGGGCGCGTACCGTTGTACCCTTGGACGCGAAGGTAGCACGCCGCGGAAGCCCACTGTTCAAAGCAATCTCGGTCGGAGCGAGTTCTCGCTTCCATCATGTACATGTGGTACACCTTTCGAGTGTCGATGAATCGTGCGATTACATAATGGCCTCACCTTGTCGTCAGTCTGACGCAGCAACACGTTGATGCGCTGTGAGGACTACACCAGACATCAGTGGTGTATCGCGCCGCAAGAGACGCTGTACTTTGCTGTGAAACTCCTCAAACACGTCCGGCACACTACTGCCATCCTCGTCTTCGGCAGCACTGCTGCCGCATTCAACGCCTGCCTCGCCATCATCATCTGACATGCCCTCGAGCTCTACATGCCGCAGCGTATTAAGTCAACGTCCGCGTGGAAAGCATCACGTTGACCCGCCTACCGCTCGGATGCGCGTCGTCGTTGTGGCCAGAACTCCATCCGTCCGTCGACATGGGTGTCGGGTCCGCGCTGATAAATTGCAGTTACGATCTTACATCCGGAAAAACATGGTATCCGGAACGATCGACGGCATTTCATAAGTGTGCAATTATATGGAATCCTGGAGCCCATGGCAGCACGGCCGCTCAAGGACTCATGGGAGGCCCTCAACGCGACTGTAACGAAATGGCGCAAGGTAAAGGCTGCCATGGTTCATGGCTACAAGTAGTGCAGAGTGATGTCGCAAGGAGTGTGCGTCCAAGCACAAATGTGCTTTTCGAACACGAACTCGAGGACTTGGACGCTTTCGAAACTCGGGTCACAAGTGCATGGCTTGGAAGGACCGGCCGCGGTGAAGCGGGTGTCTGTAAGTACAGATAGAGTGACGGTACCCATTCCGTCCAATACACCACAGCTTCGGTTCTCGTGTTGAGTACGATTGTGGACGACGCCGCCGCAGAAGCCGTTGCGAGAACGAGTTGTCGTGCAAGGCAAGCTGGTGCAGTTCGCGATGAGATTTTTTGCAAGCACCATGTGCCGTACAATACTTTTTAACTAGCGGGACTTGAACACTGTCCATGCCACTGGTTCAGTCATGGCGACCTTTCATACGATCCAGATCGCAATGGATGGGCTGTGATTGGCTTGTGACCTTTCGAATAACCACGTGTGATTGGTCAATCCATCGAGCGACCCTTCTTGACATCGAGGAGGCAGCCAGCGTCGAACCGGTGATGCAAACGCCGCTGGAGATACCAACCAGCCACGGAAACACCCCGTCAGAGGTGCCCGCAACGACCCCGCAGGAAAAAGCCACCAAGCTTCTCCTCCATGCGCTGCAGAAGAAGTATGGCGTCGCGGGGTCAGCAACACCAGATGAGCTCGTGCGGCAGTCGATGGTAAACCCCCGCGGCAAACAACTATGGGCCAAAGTGCGCGAGAACATTTCCGTGCTTGTACCACCCAAGCACAACGTTCGGTACCGGCGGTCGCTGACGCCGCCCCTCATGTTTGACCCGGACTCCGACACGAAAATCAAGTGGGACTTGGGCCTCGCGCTGTGTGTGCTGTACACAACTTGCGTCGTTCCAGTCCGCATCAGCTTTAGTCTGGAGGCCAGTGGCTTTATCTTTGCGCTGGAGATACTCATCGACGTCTTGTTCTTCGTCGACATCACGTTCAGCTTTCGCACTGGGATTGTTAACCCGACGACCGGGCTCGTACGTCTTCTGGACAAGTCACTTGACGACTCACGATCGTGGGTGCGCCGCAATAGGTGTACTACAACAAGACGCAAATTGCGCAGTCGTACCTGCGTGGGTGGTTCCTCGTCGATTTCGCGTCGACGATGCCGCTCGAGAGCATCGTGAAGCTTATATACCCCGATACCCCCACGAATGCCCTCCAAACCGCCAAGATATTTCGAGGGCTCAAGCTCGTGCGGCTGCTCAAGTTGGTGCGGATCCGTAAAATCGGCAACATGATTTCCAAATTTGAAGAGGAAGTACGTTCACCGTCGGATATCGTCCATGCCTGTACACACGTCTCGAATGTGTGCAGCAGCCCGGACGTGGAGTGCTGCGCATTGCCTGCCTGCATGCGGTTTCATGCCATGATGGCAACCTCTCACACGATGTCGCACAGGTGTTTGCCAACCAAAGTGTGCTGTCCTTGGTCAAGATTCTGCTCTTCCTCCTCTTTCTCGCGCATTTGATGGCGTGCGTGTGGTTTTACGTCGCCCAAGCTGGAACGTACGGCTCTGCGCTTACGTGCCTGGTACCTGACTCCCTGTGGGTTGCGGGTAGGTATTCGTGGGCCATGGCGACCGGTTACATGTCGAACGATCACAACCACATGCTCACGCTGCAGTACCTGTCGTCGCTGTACTGGGCAATTGTGACGATGGTGAGATTCAATGGGATGGTTGACAGCGCCCCACGTGACTGATGCTCAACCCGCGCAGACGACGATCGGATACGGCGACATCATCCCCAAGACCAAGACGGAGCTCATCCTGGCCATGTTTGTCATGGTGATTGGTGTGTCCATGTTTGGCTATGTGATTGGAAACATCACAGCACTCGTCGACAACATCAACGCGTCTGGGCGCATGCAGTCCGAACGCCTCACGAGTCTCAAGGAGTACGCGATGGTGCGCAACTTACCAAAGGCAACCAGTGCGTTGGCAGGACAACGCGACATGATGTCTTGACCTCATCGGGTAGCCAAGCGCATGATGGACCATTTCGAGTACTTTTACCGGCACCGGTCTGTGTTTGACGAAGAAGCCATCTTGAACAACTTGCCGACCGTCATGCGGAACGAAGTCGTACGTCGACAACACAACTTTGAACGACCTTCGAACCCCGTGTCATTCGTAGGTGCACCACGTCTTGAGCAAGTTCATTTCGCGCATCGATTTCCTTGCCGAGTTTCATGAGGGCCTTGTCAGCGACTTGGCCGTGGCCATGAATCCGTTCTTTTGCATCAAAGACGAAGCTGTCTACTTGCAAAATGAAATCGCTGTCCACGTGTTCTTCCTTACAAAAGGTACCCCGCGGCGCCGTGGCGACGACAAACCTCACGAGTTGGTGGCGGCCACGCAGGCGAAGTATCGCTCGTCAAGTCGTACCCAAACCAGCTCGCCGACACGACCCTCCTGACGCTCACCTCTGGCAAACATTTTGGCGAGGTACGTCGGCATGGGCAAGATGATGACTCATCTCGCCGGAGGTTGAGATTTACCACCAAGTGTACGGTCAAGGCGTGCGGCTGTCGTGCGCAGTGGCAAAATCGTACTGCCAACTCACGTTCCTGTCGCGCCAAGTCATTGAAAACATCGGTACGTGTGCCATCGTCTTGAAACAGAATCGGGACGATTGCGATGTGTGTTTGCAGGACATACGTGGCCCGAGATCCTCGACCACTTTCGCCTGAATGCCATCGCCAAAGTAAAGCGGATGAGCAAGCGCGGCTCGTTGGACAACTATAGCCCCGACCCGCCGCCGTCCACGACCAACGAGCACGGAAGGTCGGCCGTCCAATCGCCGGGGAAAAAGGTCGGTGGCCGTCAGTCGTACGACTCACAATGTGTTGATGCGCAGAAAGCGCTTGAAGCGGCCCATGTGTGGCACCACCACCACGTCGTTGCGGCGTCCATGCGCAAGGGTGCCAAGCCCGCCGACGACTCGTCGTCGAGCGAAGAAGGTGAACCCGACGAGCAGCACCAAAACCCAAACCACTCGGAACACGATCCGCAAACGACGCAACGGACGCTGCTTGAAACTCGGCGCTCGAGTGCGACGCACGTGCCGGCTTCGTCGACGCGCCCCATTTTGAATGAAAAACGGGTACGGTCTATCTTGCAGCAAGTTGAAGCACATTGCCCCACGATTGCTGGCCGTGGCCAGATTGACTTCGTGGTGGACCTGGCTGGTTCGGCAGAAATGACTTTGTCGTGGTGTAGGTGGCGCACAACGCGTACGTCTTTCATCCGCAGGACTCGTTCATTGCGAACTGGCAGGTGGCGGTTGGGACCGCCATCATCTACTCGACGTTCATGGTACCGTTCCGCATCGGATTCGACTCGGACCCGCCGGACGACGTGTTTTCGCTCGACATGATCTTTGACATCGTGTTTGGCCTGGACATCCTGCTCACGTTTCGCCTGGCATTCCACAACTCGGACCGCATCCTGATCTCGGACGGCGTCACGATCGCTACGTCGTACTTGAAAGGGTGGTTCTTTGTCGACGTGTTGTCCACGATGCCCGTCGACACGATCGTGGGGTACTTTACAACGGCATCGTCCAAGCTGCTCAAGTCGACCAAACTTCTCCGAGTGTTCCGCGTGGCGCGTCTGTTCAAGCTCGTGCGGTTGCTCAAGCTGGGCAAGGTGTTTAAACGCGTGCGAGATTCCATCCAGGTGCGCGCGCTTGGTGGCGATGCTTGACATGGCGAGCGCATTAGCTGAGCCCGTCCACGGAGCGGCTTCTCAAGCTCATCATGATCATGGTGTGCTTTGGCCACTGGTGCGCGTGCATCTTTCACTGGATCATGTTGTTTGAAGAAGAAATCGGGTACGACGCCTGCAGTCGCCATGACGTGTACGGGCTTCACGCGGCGTAGACTACGAACATGGTGCACCGACTACTTCTTCCCGTACGACGAAGATCCTGGCGCGTGCTCGTTCCGGGTCCCGTCCGAAGATCGCTACGTGGCCGCCATCTACTGGGCGTTCACGACCATGACGACGGTCGGCTACGGCGACATCAAGCCATTCCGCTACTCGGTCGCGGAACTCACGTTTGCCATCATTTGCCTCTTGCTCAACTCGACCGTGTACGCGTATGTTGTCAGCGGCATCATCGACGTCATTTACAATTACAATCCGAGTGACCGCGAATACCGCGCCCGCATGAATGACATGAAGGTGCGTTGGTTTCGGGCTTGTCTCGAGCAACCGTCCATGCACTAAACTTAAACTTGAGCTGCATCTAGGACTACGTGCGCGACACAGCGATGAGTGTCCGCCTCAGTAACATGGTGAAGTGTCATTATGACTTTTTGCTCAGCACGACGTGCTTGTTCCCGGAAGAGCAGGTGCGGGTGCTACGTCGTCCTTCATAGTCACCGATGCCGCCACCCGTCGATAGATCTTCAACCAACTGCGACCGAGCCTCCGCTTCGACGTCGCCAGGCTGGTCGCAAGCAACACGATCATGACCATCAACATCATTGCGACGATGGAGAAGAAGTACAAGGGTGCGATCGCGCCGCGCCGTCGTGGACTGATGCGTTGTGTGGCGCGGTAGGGTTTGTCAGCTACGCGCTGTTTCTGCTGCGACCGCAGTTTATCCTGCGCAGCGAGCGCGTGTGTCGGAGCGGGAGTCCTGGCACGGAGATGTTTTTCCTCGTCGAGGGCGAGTGCGAGCAAATGGACCAAGACAACCACAACGTCCGCGTGTTGGGGTACTGGATGACGTGTGGAGCGTCCCGACTGACCGCTAATGACGAGTTGCGACGGTGTAGGGAAGGCACGTTGTTTGAAGCGTATGCGTTGCTGGCTCCGCCAGAAGAGCACTATCGCATGCAGAGCACGGTGACCGCCCTCACGCCAACCTGTCAACTGTATTCGCTGTCTGTGCAAGAATTCGAGTACGTTCGAGCGTCCGATCTTGTAGCTCAAGTGAGACGTGTGCTTGCAAATAGATCGATCGCGGACCTCTCGCCCGCCATCTCGGTCAACTTGGGCTACGAGTTGGCGAAATCGATCCTGCAAGATGACTTTTTAACCCTGAACGACGAGCAGGTAGCCCCGCGCTCCTCGACAGCGTGAATGCTATTTTACGGGCATACATTTGCCATTCATCATAGGAAGCTGTGGTGTTGGGCGCGATCGAGCGACAGAAGACGCTGCAACCAGAGAATCTCAACTACGGACCCCTCACCAACATGGCCAAGGTCGTCATGGCTAAGCTTCGCATTGTCAAGGGCAGCGTCCTACCAGAGAACGTCAAAGAGGCTATGAAAGGTGTCATGTCCAAAACAAAGCATACGCTCGGGCTCGCTACTGGCGCCTCGTGAGGACAGCTCGTCTGCTGTGGAATGTCGTCAACGGTGTAATAGACGATTCAATTCATATTCATTCAAAATGGGCTTAGCCAATCCAAACGCTCGAATAGTTTAAATTGTCCATTAATATCCAATCGAAAAATGATTGCAAATTCATCGGAGCTGGAAAGTTGAGCAAATTATCGATCTTGGTGGTGGCTACGTTGCTGTGGATGGCTCTATCTATACACATTCATTTTGGATGTTCGAGGGTTGGACGCTGCGCTGGTGAGTGGAGTGTCGGGGGTGATGCAGGCGAGGGCCTTTCCTTTGTTATGCGAGGCATTCCGGGGATTGAATAGCATCGGCCTTTGCGAAATCCGATGAAACCACGCATGTGTCGTCAACCTTTTCACCAAGCGGTGCAACTGCCCGAACGGCATCCACGTTCTCCGCCTGTGCCATTTTGTCTTGGGGAGAAAATCGCTCGATAGCTTGCGTGACCAGCGCGAGCTATAGTTTCAAAGAAGGTTCAGCAAGTGCAGCACTGGAAGGACGGTTTTTTGCACCTGATCTGCAGATAATCGCAAGAAGTCGTCCTTCTTCACGGACATCGCCAACTCGTAGCCCAAGTTGACCGAGATGGCGGGCGAGAGGTCCGCGATCGATCTATTTGCAAGCACACGTGTCACTTGAGCTACAAGATCGGACGCTCGAACGTACTCGAATTCTTGCACAGACAGCGAATACAGTTGACAGGTTGGCGTGAGGGCGGTCACCGTGCTCTGCATGCGATAGTGCTCTTCTGGCGGAGCCAGCAACGCATACGCTTCAAACAACGTGCCTTCCCTACACCGTCGCAACTCGTCATTAGCGGTCAGTCGGGACGCTCCACACGTCATCCAGTACCCCAACACGCGGACGTTGTGGTTGTCTTGGTCCATTTGCTCGCACTCGCCCTCGACGAGGAAAAACATCTCCGTGCCAGGACTCCCGCTCCGACACACGCGCTCGCTGCGCAGGATAAACTGCGGTCGCAGCAGAAACAGCGCGTAGCTGACAAACCCTACCGCGCCACACAACGCATCAGTCCACGACGGCGCGGCGCGATCGCACCCTTGTACTTCTTCTCCATCGTCGCAATGATGTTGATGGTCATGATCGTGTTGCTTGCGACCAGCCTGGCGACGTCGAAGCGGAGGCTCGGTCGCAGTTGGTTGAAGATCTATCGACGGGTGGCGGCATCGGTGACTATGAAGGACGACGTAGCACCCGCACCTGCTCTTCCGGGAACAAGCACGTCGTGCTGAGCAAAAAGTCGTAGTGCCGCTTGACGTTGCTGCTAAGCCGGACGCTCATCGCTGTGTCGCGCACGTAGTCCTAGATCACGGCGAACGGATATTGATTCACCGTCGGAGACCAAGTCGACAAGTTCTAGGCTGCCACGCACTTTCATTTCATTCATTTGAGTGCGGTACTCTCGTTCGCTTGGGTTGTGGTTGGAAATGACGCCAATAATGCCACTGACGACGTAGGCAAACACGGTCGAGTTGACAATCAAGCAGACGACGGCGAAGCTGAGCTCGGGGACGGAAAACTTGGACGGGTGGAGGTCGCCGTAGCCGACGGTGGTCATGGTGGTGAACGCCCAGTAAATGGCCACGACGTAGCGATCTTCGTTGGGCACGCGGTCAGAACAAGCCCCCGGATCGTCGTCGTACGGAAAGAAGTAGTCGGTGCACCACGTGTGGCCCCTGCAACCAAACACAGACGCTGCATGACATCACTGTACAAGACGCTTCAAGGTCGGCTGTTCAGCTCCAAATTCAAGGCTGCCGAGGCCTCGCCTCCACAAAAGATAGCGACACCCAAGACAGGATAGACACCCAGGTATGGTCACATCCGCGTAAGAGGGGGCTCAACTCCCGGCTCCTCCCGTTTTGCAAACCCATGAAGAGGCCAACGTACCCGCTTTCTTCCTCAAACAACATGATCCAGTGGAAGATGCACGCGCACCAGTGGCCAAAGCAAATCATGATTGTGACGAGTTTGAGAAGCCGCTCCGTCGACGGGCTCAACTACACACACAGCGACAGCGATGACGTCCAACATGTTCGTCCCGTGGTTTCGGCACCTGGATCGAGTCGCGAATGCGCTTGAACACTTTGCCGATCTTGAGCAGCCGAACGAGCTTGAATAAGCGCGCGACACGAAACATGCGCAGGTACTTTGTGCTCTCGGCGACTTGGGCGGCGCTGCCGGGTGCGACAAACATGGCCCCAATCGTGTCGAACGGCAGCGTCGAGAACAAATCGATGACGAACCACCCCTTGATGTACTTTTTCGCAATCGTCCCTGCGTTGCAGACGAGCTGCCGGTCTGCATTGTGGTATGCCAGACGAAACATGATTGCAATGTCCAGGCCAAAGAGGACGTCGACAAACGTGTCGAGGTACCGGCCTTCCGCGACCGGCTCTGCTTCGAACGCGATGCGGTACGGCACCATGAACGACGAGTACACGATCGCCGTGGCGACTGTCATTTGCCAATTCACGACAAAAATGTCGTGGGGGTGCAGCATCCAGTGGAAATGCGCCACCTACTCGAACTCGTTGTCGGTACCCTGCCTTCGTGCCGATGGTGGAATGAACGCAGTGGGCGAACCTTCTTCTCTGGCAAGTGCAGGCGGTGTGAGCCTGCGACGACAGGAACGTGGGAATCGTTTCCTTGAGCAGTGCCTCGGCAGGGCTTTTCGACTGGGGCGGAGAGCGGAGCCACCGTGCTGAATGCGATGCAAGTGTTGGCATCCTTCACGAGCTGTTGTTGGCCGTCCGAATTGCTAGAGGTGGCACCGGCGGGAAGGATCTCATCAGCGGGGGATAAGGCCATCGGCGGCAGCGTGATGGACTAAATGGAGGAAGGAAACGTGGGTGGCCTGGGCTGCCATGTTTCATGTGGGAAGTACATGTACCCTTGCGGCGGCCGGGGATGGTTTCAGGTCAGAATGCACCTCAAACGATTTGTCCGCGGCGGCGCTCAGGATCGGTTCCATCAGCTTGGCTTGTACAGTCGCTTCAACGACAAACCGAGCGATGAGCTCGGGCCACGTCTTGCCTACACAGGACTCGATTCAACATGGCAACCATCGCGCAACACAATACCGATCGATTCGATGGACGGCCGGGACAGCATCGTAAGTTGACAGTATGTTTTCGCAACGGCCGACGCCAGTCGCATGCCTCGAGAGTACCTTGGATGAAACAGCTCCACCTATAGCCTCCCACCAAAAGCAGCCATTATGGAATAGTCCACGAGCGGCATCATCCAGACCTGGCCAAAATGCCCGCCTTCCTCGATCGTCACGATAGACCTGGAAACGCCAGGCTTTGGCTTCCACTTGGTGTTGACAAGTCGCACCGTTCCTGGTCAGCCAACGACCATGAAGTCCATGGGAGGTTTGCACTCGGCTGGGTACACTGTTGAAGTCAGCCATACCTTTGAGAAGGAAGAACACGTGCACCGCGATGTCTTGCTCGGCGTATACTTCGTCGTCTTGTACGCAAAAAAACGGCTGCATTGCGACCGCGAGATCGCTGACGAGTCCTTCGTGATGGCCAGACGAGAGCAAGTCGATGCGCGCGATCGTCTTTTGAAGCACGTGGTGCACCTACCACAGCACGTCGAGGACGTCAACCCTTTCCTCCATAGGTACAAGCAATGGTGGCCACGCACAACGTCGTTTCGCATGCCGGTCGGAAGGTTTTTGAGGATCGCGTCTTCATCAAACACGGAGCGATGCCGGTAATAATACTCAAAGTGGTCGAGCACACGCTTTCCTGCCGCGGCACACGCCATCAACGGCGGCGAGAGGGGGGTATGGAAAGGCGACGTACCCAAGTGCTTGGGCAGGTTCCGCACGATAACGTACTCCTTGAGCGTCGTGATATGCTGCGACTGCATGCGGCCGGCCGCGTTGATGTTGTCGACGAGCGACGTTATGTTGCCGATAACATAACCAAACATGGACACGCCAATAATCATGACGAACATGGCAATGATCAATTCGGTCTTGGTCTTTGGTGTGATGTCACCGTACCCGACCGTCGTCTACACAGTAGTCACGATGAGTCTGCTTTGACACAGAGTTGCGGCGCACCATCGTGACGATGGCCCAGTAGAGCGACGACAAGTACTGCAACGACACCACGTTCGCGTGGTCGTTGGCCATGAATCCCATCGACTTGGACCACGAGTACCTACTCGATCAAGTCGAGACTGACGTGCGACGGGTATGGTTGCCCTTGCTGGTTTAGATGGCCACGTACGGGCTAAGTTGCGCCACGTAAAACCACACGCACGCAACCAAGTGCGCGAGGAACAGCATGAAAAGAAGAATCTTGACAAGGGCGAGCACGCTTTGGTTGGCAAACACCTGCAAGCGTGGTATAATGACGTAGATCATGGCATATAAGCTAGAGAGGCCAGACCTCTCCTTCGAGCTTGGAGATCATTTGCCCGATCTTTCGAATGCGCACGAGCTTCAAGAGCCGAATGAGCTTGAGGCCACGCAAGATCTTTGCTGATTGCAGCGTATTGGACGCGACGTCAGGGTACAGGTGTTTGGCCATAAACTCCAGTGGCACCGTCGACACCAAATCGATGGCAAACCAACCGCGCAAGTACGTCTGCACGATCTGTCGCTGGTTGTAATACACCTAACGAGACACCCGCGTTTGCCAAGCCGATGCAGATGAGACCGACGTACGTGCCCAGTCGTGGGGTCGACGAGGCCCGTGCGAAAACTAAACAGGATGTCGACGAAGAAGCAAAAATCGAGGCCGCATTCAAACACGTAAAAGAACCCAGTCGCGTCGATGCCAAAACTGATGCGCACGGGGACCACACAAGACGTGTAAAACACGCATAGCGCCAACACGACGTCCCATTTGATCTTGAAGCTCGATTCAGGATTGAGCATCCATCGCGGGGGCATCACCACATGCCGTCGATGGGGCGAGGGGCACTCGGGCAATTCTCGCGACACGGATGGAATGGTGATGGCAGTCATTTCCGACGAACACAGGCCAGGTTCAACGAGCGCTACATTCGCCATCGCTGTCCCTGCCACAGACTTCGATTCAAACCAGGGACGGACTACAAACGCGGCTTGTGTCACGGAAAAAGTAGTGTAACTGATGAAACTTCCGCCGGGTGCTCGGTTCGGTTACTCTATCCCGTTCAGGTACGACGAAGAGGTCCAGAGGCCTCCGTACGACGCCCAGATACACTTTCCGTCAGTCAGTGGCAAAATGGACCACAAAGTATATAGTTTAGCAAGAACTACGTCGATTAGCATCCCCTCTCCATTTTCGTCGGGGATGAGGCGAAATACTTCGTATATATGAAACACCCTTGGTGGCAAAAAATTTCGTCAGCTGTGAGATTCGAACTCACGCGGGTTGCCCCATTAACTTAGCAGGCTAACGCCTTAACCACTCGGCCAAGCTGACTTGATAATTAAGTAGAGAAGTATATAACAATAACAAGAATGCAGACTTTTCGTCGCATGTAAGCTGAAGCTGCTCGCGTTTGGGATGAGCCAAGAGATGTCTGGATGATGCTGCAGTTTGTCGAAGGCCTTGGGGTGTTGATCGGTATTCATGCTGGGAAGTGGATCACTGCAATGTTTGTGATGGAATTTATTCACTGTCAATCGTGGCAAGAACCACAAGCGTGTAACTGCTGCCATCCTAGTCAGGCATGTCGAGTGCGTGGAGAGTGTTCGAGATGCGAATGTTATCGTCGTTGGTGTTTGCCTTTCAGGACGGCAAGTCGTATTTCCTACGCGGCATCGAGCAATGGTATCCCATGTTCGCAATTAACTGCAAAGAGAAGCGCGGACCACTGCGGCATGGACATGTCCACCTCGACGATTTGGCGGACGTGATGGACCAACGTCGCGACCACATTGCGGCCTGGATTGAGCGCAATCGGGCGAACTCATTGCACATCCACGAGGTGATTCAAAAGCACCCTCCCTTTGGCCATGTCCTGGAACAGCATGCCGCGTACGTTGGCGACGTCGCCCTGCTGCAGCTCCTGTACAACATGCACGTTCCAAACGGATTTCCCCTCGTGAACACGTTGATCCACGTTTCTGCATGTCACGGCCATGTCAATATTCTCCGATTCTTGTCTATCGTCGGCTACACCAACCATGTGCTTGCAGAGTACGTGTCCCCGATGGAAATCGCTTCCCGCGGCGGCCACTTGGCGTTTATCCAGATTCTCCACACGGGTTATGGGCGACCCTCCATCGACAGCGACCAGCCCAAGAAGAAGAAGAAGCCCCGCTCGGTCCAACAAGACCACCAAATCCCCCTCGCCAACTTTAGCGAGCGAGCGCTGGCTTTTGCCGCCAAACATGGCCACGTCGACGTTGTGAAATACATTTGTACGGTCGGCGGGATCACGACAAGCCCTGATGCGTTGGATCTTGCCGCTATGGGAGGGCACTCGCCGGTCGTGAAGTTCTTGACCGAGCATTTGCCGTCCATGCCGGCGACGACACTTGCGATGGACCACGCCGCAAGCCAAGGAAACCTTGATCTGGTGGAGTTTTTGCATGCCCGTCGAACTGAAGGGTGCACTCCTGCCGCTATGGACGCGGCAGCGAGCCATGGACATATCGATGTGGTGAAATTCCTGCACAGCAATCGCCATGAAGGTTGCACCAAAGACGCCGTGGATCATGCAGCGGCCAACGGGTTTGCCGACATTGTGCAGTTTTTGGTCCTACATCGACCTGAAGGTGGGACGTCCGAGACATTGAAGGTATATGCAAGTCGTGGGGAAGTTCGCATGGTGAAATGGCTGCACGAGCATTGGAAACACGGCAAGTGGCCCGTGCAAGCAGTCAATGCGGCAGCCACGAACGGCCATGCAACTGTCGTGCAGTACTTGATGGACCACCAACTCGTGGCGTACTCACCCCACGCGTTGGTTGGAGCTGCCAAGAACGGGCACTTCGACGTGTTGGACTATCTGCTTCCGAAAAAGCCGCCCAAAACGTGCGTGGCTCGAGCGATCGAGTCGGCACTGGCGAGCCACCACGACAAAATCGCCAAGTATTTGAAAGACCACGTGTGTGCATGTTGTGCCAAAAAGATATTTGACGTCGCCACGACGAAAACCGGTGCAACTCGTCAAAACATGCCGCGCAAACGTCGTTGAGGTGTAGAAACGTCGTCATGGTATGGTCGGAACAACGGGACAGCGTCATGCATGCATCGTGTCCTCTTTGATGCGCAGGAAATGCCAAACCCGCGCACTAATTGCATCGCACTCAACCACGTCAAACGGTGGATAGTGCCTTGTTGGTTGGGAGATCATCTCCCTTCGTCCCACCCGGGGTGGACATGGCGCTTCCATCCAAGCCAGGATATTTTCCATCGTCAACCGACGCCATCCGCCCAAGAGACTGCCCATTCGTCCTAATGGCCGACCCAGTCGCACCAAGTCAACTCCATCGGCCATTCTCATCCAGAAGACAATTCGTTTTGTTACTGATGACCATGTGCAGCAGCCGACAACGACGGGACGGCATATAGTATTGTTATAGGTAGATATGTATTGCGTTTATCCGTGCGTGGGCTGTATTGATGGCGGAATTCCACGAGTTGTGAGGGGGGCACACCCGTCGCACAGAGGGGGCGGCGACTTTGATAGCAACACGAGTTTGCACCTGTATGAAAGTGTTACATCTCCTGGTACAGCAACGACATTCCTCCGCCAATTCTGCTGGCAACAGAAGCCACCCCTCCGAGCCGCAAC